CCTATACCTTAAGTTAAGGAGGGAATTTTCCCCCTTCTTTTTGACCTTTGACCTTTGACCTTTGACCCCCCAGCTTCGACATCCCAACTCGTTTTCGGATTACCCCCCCACGTCCCGAATATCGTGACCGTACGTCGAGCGGTTAAGATTTGTGCCCAACTGTTGACGGACGGACGGACGGACGCTCGGACGCTCGGACGGACGCTCGGACGGACGGACGGACGATCATGCGATTCTACAAGCTGCATCTGACTATGTCAGATGAGCTAATAACCCAATATGGACTTTAAAGACTTTAATTTAATTATTATGAGTTTATATTTTTGGGTCCAGTCCTAGGCGAAAGTATATGCGAAAGTATAGGCGAAGACAAAACATTTTTACTTCTGAAACTCTACATACAAATATTTGTGTATATAGGCACATACGACCCCCTTCCACTCCCAGCAGCAGCGTCAGCAGAAGCCAAATAAAAAAGAAGAATAGGAAGAATTAGAAGGAGAGGAAGAAGAAGAATAGCAACGTACAATAACAACAACGAGGAGAAGGAGAAGAAGAATTAACAGCAGCAGCTGCTGCAACGGCGGCGGCTGCAACAGCAGCAGGAGCAACAGCAGCAGCAGCGACAACAAGAGTACTAGCTGCTACTGCTACTGAAATAAATAAATGTAAATCTTGAATTTTCTTCGTCTCTCCATCGTTCTCTGTTTCATATATTAAAAAAAAATTATATATACCCATACCTAACCAAAACCTAAATTTATATAGCCTTTAATCGGGATCGCCACCAGATGGCAGTAGGTGACATGGGCAGGTAGTTGGTGTCTATATCTATATATATCAGGAGCGTATAATGACAAAGGAGTAAGGCAACGATTTGGTACTGATTTCACTACTTTTTGTCGTACGAGTTCGATCTGAATAAAAATAGAAATGTATACAAACATGAGCTTCTTTTGTTCACTGGTCCTTATTCTATCTTCCGGTAGTATTACAAACCGCGTAGCTTCCTTCGTTTTGACATAATTCGTATTTTTCGACGACATGGTTTTCACGTTAGTACAGCTACTTACGTATCTAGGAATAGTCTTGGAAGACTCCATGAGTGGTGAGGTAACGAGAATTAAGGTTGTAAAAACGGTTAACATTAAATTGAAATTTCTTTCCAGAAAAGCCAAGTATTTAAACACAGCATGTAAAAGATTACTAGTTTCTTCCCTAATTCAATGTCATTTTAACTATGCAAGCAGTATACGGTACAACAGTCTCACAAAGCGCACAATTAAGGGCTAGACTGCAAGTGTGTCAAAATAAAGCCATTAGCCTCAACCTATAGGTACTAAAGAACATATAGGTGCTAGAGAGTTCAGGGCTGTAAATTGGGTACCTGTAGAGTTCAGGGTAATGCAACTGAAGGTCAATAAGGTTTTTAAAATATTACGTAATCTCGGCCCACAGTATATGACAGAAGGTTTCATAAGTCCATAAGTTCAGAAGTCCATAGTTTCAATAAAAGGGAAGGTGAGATGTCTATTTTTAAACCGAGGGTGGGAAGCAGTGGGAAAAACTCTTTTACTTATACTGCAATTGAAGCTTGGAACTTTCTACCACAGCAAAGCCTACACAACAAATTCTGTTTATTCTAGTTTTAAGTATAGTGTTAAGAAATGTCTGATGGAAAAGGTAGAAACATTAGAGGCAGACGAGTATGATTTTCGCTAAAAGTATTCGGTTGAAATTAGGCATAAGAAAAGTTTGTATCGGCTTATGAATATGAGAATGTACCATTGTATGACCGGTTAAAACTACAAATTTGTATATTTTAGTTAGTGCTGATAGTAGTGTAAAGGCCCGTCTCCACACACGCGGCGCGGCACGGAACGCCACGGAAACGGCGTCGTTCACCCCTACCGGCAAAGTTCAAATCTATTATATCTTATGGTACCCAGGGGGCAAGACAGGTTTACCAGACATGGGGTGTTGTAAAAGGTTGTTTGGTATCAACATAGTATATGGCGCAGTCTCATGAGCAGGCACGGCGCCAGCGCCGGTTTCACGGGACGGCGAAGTAAAATGAGGTTTGATTTTGCGGCTGCCGTGTACGAGAGAAAAGACAGTTGAACCAATCAACGCGGATTTGCTTTTTTTATCACGTATTCTGGCTCGCACGCACCATCAGCCATGGAAACGAGCGCACATGCTAATTTATGAACACTGAAACCAAGGAAGTTGCAGCGGGCAGGTGTACAGGGGGTGGCGGTCCAGGGTCCGACCCCCCCCCCCCTTGCTCGCGGCCTAGAGAAAATCGCATCTGAGGAGGTATTATTAAAAAAAATTCTGGGGAGAGGGTCCCCCACACCCTGTCGCGTGTGCAAGGTTTTGGGTTACGGTCTAGATCCCTCCCGCCCTTGGCTACATAAGTAGCCTGTACACGCTCGCTGAGTGAACACAACTGCGCTCAGGACACAGATCGCGGAATCACAATTGTATTTTTTTCTTAGTCAGCGCAACGGCGCTGCGTTTTTGCATTGATCCGTGTCGTTGCCGCAGTTGGATGTGGGAGACATATAGTTTAATTAGAGTCCTAATATACGAGAGTTTGCGCCATGTTATCGGAAGTCGAAAAAAACTACGGTCACGTGGTCGCTGGCGACAATGTTGTTTCCAATAGAATATCGACACGGCTATGGCGCGTAAGAAAGTGTATAATTAATATTCATAATCGTCGAGACGAACGATTGTCGAGTTACATTATAAGAAGTTAGATAACTGATAGACACATGTTTAGCTTAACTTCTGTAAATTTTTAGTTATTTTTGGAAGCAACGATAGTTAATTAATTATACGACATGTACAAGAGATCCATACAGCGCGCCTGTACTTTAGCGGCAGCGGACGGGAGAGAGGCGGAGGTGAGTTGGATACATTTGGGAAAACAAAGTGGAGTTCAATCAATCCTGAGTATGGCTGCAAACTCGCCTGTATATAGGCAACTATATATATAGGGATTCTGTTTATTCTAGTTTTAAGTTAGTGTAAGAATTGTTGATTGGAAAACCGGGTAGAAATCGTAGAGGCAGGACGGAGTATGATTTTTTCTGCTAAAAGTATTCGGTTGAATTACGGCACCATTAAGAAAAGTTTGATATCGTCTTATTGGATGTACCTTGTACTGTCATGACGGTTAACAATACAATTTGTATATTTTAGTATAGTGTGATAGTAGGTGTAAAGGCCGTCTCAACACGTCGGGCGCGCACGGACTGCACGGAACGGCGATTCGTTCACCCTTACCGGACCAAGTCTAAATTTTATTTATATCTTTATATGGCGCAGTACTCACTGAACGGCACGCGGCAGCCGGTTTCACGGCGAACGCGAAAGTTAAATGAGTTTGCTTTTTGCGGGCTGCCGTGTACGAGAAAGACAGGATTGAACCAATCAACGCGTTGTTTTTTTTATCACGTTATTTGCTCGCGGCCCTCAGAGCCAAGGACACGAGACATGCATAATTTACTGAACACTGAACAGGGCAGCGGGCGTTGTTACATCGGGGGCGGGGTCCAGGGGTCTGCCGATGCCCCCGCCCCCCTGCTCGCGCCAGGTAGAACGCGAATCTGAGAGAGGTTTAAATTAAAAAAAAATTCACTTGGGGGGGAGCGGCCCCAAACCCCCTTCGCAGTGCTCGCAAGTTTGAGTTACGGGTCAGACCCTCCCCCCCCCTGGTACATCCATGTACACGCTCGGAGAGTGAACACAATGCGCTAGACCATGCGCGAAATCAATCAATGATATATTTTCAGCGCAACGGCGCGAACTGTTTGCGGCGGTCGATGCGGCGTGTGTTGGAGGACATATAGTAATTTAGAGTCCCTAGTTACAGAGATGTTGCGCCATGTACTTGAGTCTGAAAAATATTCGGGCTCACGTAGGGGCTGCATGGACGAATGTTTGTTATCAAATAGAATACGCCACGGTATGGGGCTAGAAAGTAGTATGTAATTAAACTATCATAATTCGTTCCGGCGACGATATTGAGTTTACATTTCTAGAAATCTAGATACAGATAGAACATGTCTTAGCTATAAATCTCGTGGTAACTTTGGTTTTTTGAAGCACGATTAGTTAATTAAGCTTTTTACTACAGGACTATTGTACAGAGTCCTACAGCGGCTGTAGCTTCAGCGGGCCAGCAGGTTGTGGATAATTGGAACAAGCATGGAGTTCAAATCCTGAGTTGTGGACGCACTCTCTTGCTTATAGGACTTAGTTTAATAAGGAATAGTAGCCTCCTAGGATTTTTCTGCATACAACTGTAGCCTTACTGGTATACAAAATCGTATATACAACGTATTTGGTTACCACAGATACTGATTTAATTGTGTATAATTATTTACACATCAACGCGTACGAAATTTTAACTGGCGCATGACACCGCGATTGCGTGCTGCCAACCCGAAAAAACGTTGCCAGTATTTAACGATTTATTTTGCGAGCGTTACCCGACAGACAGCTTGATACAAAAGTTGCATTTATTTATACCTAATTGCTGATATTAGCGAACGATACTTCATTTTATGAGGGCAATCAAGTTATCATATTATAACTGAAACTTATAATGTCGTTTATAAAATAATTCAATCTTTTGTTTTAAATGATATAAATTATGGAAAACCCTCGCGTCTGTAGCGCTTGGGTTGGAAAGTGGGTTTTGCGGCAAATTATCAGGATACTCAGTGCGCTATGCAGTGGCCGGCGCACCGTCGTTGGAATCAAACTGTAGTCGTTAGTTTTAAACAATTTTTTAATATATTTATAAATGGTAGATTTGAACTATGAACTTTTTATGTTAGACGTATGTATAACCTAGATTAGAATTAAACTACCCTGAACCTGAGTAAACATTCCTTTAATTTGTTAATTAGAATCAAGGCACTTTTAGCTAAACAAAGAACTATGTAATATGGTGTGCTAGTCATGATTTTTTGTGTATATCCTTACGTAGTTATATCCAATTTTATTAATCAGAATTTTGATTGCTTAAAGTATTTGTATGCATTGTATTATGACGGATAATTCTCCTAATAAATCAATAAATCAATAGAATAAAATATTACAATGAATGCATACTTTTACATAAAATTCTGAATTAATAATTGGGATAACTTTTAACAAATACACAGTGTTTGTTTGTATGATCGCACGCAAACACTCGCGCGCGGTTTTACTACGTACCGCATTGTTCCAACAATTAGGAACAATCGGCTCCTCTGATGTTTGCGACAGATGCGTTGATCGACAGTGTTCAATTCGCCGCACTTCAACGCCGATTGGCTGGCAGCTACCCGGGGGGCGGGAACTGTCTGCTAACGCGAACCGTCTGTCTAGGCCGCGCGGCTGTTTCGGCGTGCTTCGCCCGCTCTCGCACAAACTCTCATCAGGTTGGCTCGTTAGGTTACAGAGATTTGATGGAGCAAATGGCGGCCACTCGGCCACGCGACAATATATGTCTTTACGACTTAGACGCTCTTTCGTCCATCTTGCCAACAGCGCAGTTGTTCACTGGGTGCTACTTAGTCTGCAGGGATTCGAACCCGGTCCTCCGCGACAAAACACGCTATCACGCTCTACCACAGTTTTCTTGCGGCGATCCGCCATCATCATAACCATCATTCACCGCCGCCGCACAGCCGCCTCGATCACATGACCGCATAATTCCCCGAAGTGGTAGTACACCATAAACATCGCCCACCCCTAATACGTGGTATTCTGTATAATATTGTTAATGGTTATTTTTATGTTTGGCGTACGTTTTCCTACGCTGCTCCGGCTCTGTAGCATATTCGTTCTCTCTCTCTATCTCTCTCTCTCGTCTCTCTCTCGTCTCTCTCTCTCTCTCTCTCTCTCTCTCTCTTCTCTCTCTCTCTTCGCTCTCTCCTCTCTCTCTCTCCTACTCTCCTCGTCTCCCTTCCTAATTCTTTCTCTCTTTCTCCTCTCATTCTCTTTCTCTTCCCAACGCATTTAATCCCAGGCAAGAACTGTTTACTCCACACTGCGAGATTTTTTCCCACATCTCGGGAATTTTTGTTGTTTATGAACGGGATTCGCTTGAAAACTATCCCACATGCGCCTGCATGCTAACCACCCCAGAATTAATCATATACTGCTAATTATAGCCACTATACGGATTTCTATGACCTCTGTCAACAACCTGCTGCAATGCTCCACCTATATTGCCTTGCCGTGCCTAGTATTTGTTGATGTTGTCGTCTGGGAGTGAATGCGTGCTAGGGTATTTCACAATTATGTGTAAGGTTCCCGTGATTGCCTTTCATTAGCGACTCGCTTCTGTGTATACCTCCCCCGAGTCCGACCATGTGACTGCGAGAGACGAAACGTATAATATACAGAGTGGCTATGATATCATGTATGTAGTATTTGCCATACACATACACCGTTGTGCAATAAACGGGGGTTTCTTTCATGGGTCTGTAAAACTATATTCACACAGATAAAAATGTATTACTTCGTTTTAGCAGGGGGCATATGTTCGTGCTATTTACGTGTATTGCACCCAGCTAGCTTGGTATATATATATAGGGTGTATGAGTACTTGATGGGCTAAGCTTAACAAACTATACAGCTGGTAAAAAAATGCGCAGGTTTGTGATATACAGAAAAAGTTTTTGTTCAATCATTGACGTTTAATCCCACCGTTTTCCCCCACTTTCGTAGCACGTGCAATAATGCGTTTTTTCTCTTCTAAACAGCTGATCGAACGATGCAGTATATATATACCTAAGTTTTTTTATGCAAAACGCCCCACTTGTTTAAGCTTAAACCAAAAAAACACCAGCATTTTAAAAACGCACCCGTTTCTTTTTCCCACGCGCAAACGTATCGGTGTTTTTTATTTTAACTAACAAATCGAAGATTTCCGTTATAAACCGATCTATTATCAGGAGTTTCATAATATAGACTAAGAATATATAGACGATATAAGACTAAGAATACCTGTATAAACTATATAAGACTATTTTTAAATTGACTATATTAGACTATAAGAATATTAAAGATTATATAAGACTAATAACATATATAGACTATAAGACTAAGAATATATAGGCTATACATGTATAAGACTAAGAATATATATAGACTATACATGTATAAGACTGAGAATATATATACTATAGAATATATCTATGACATTGTTCATATTATTAACTTATGTACGATCATAATATCTTCCCCCCGTTTGGGTTTTTAGAACGCGCACCTGCACCACGGCTATGGCCGTCAGCTGCCGTCGCCGTACGGCAGCATCGGCGACGGCAGCGTCGGCGATCTCAACGACCACTTCTCCGATCTGTCGATCACGATGGACAGAAAGCCGGGCAAGCGGCCGCCGCCGTCCTACCTGTGTCACCTGTGCTTCATGAAGGGACATTACATCAAAGACTGTCCACAGGTAGGTATAGGTGGTCGGCGAGTGGTGTGTGTGTGCGTGCGTGAGTGCGTGTGTGTGCGGGGGTAGAAATTAACTTTTGAACAAGGGAGTCCAGCGGACTCCCTACCCTCAAAAAGAGCGAGTCCGCAGCAAAATGAAGGAGTCCGCAGTCTGAGGTTAAAAATTAAAGATATTAACAATAACGCATGTGCTTATTTTTAAGATTCATGAAGTTGCACGTCTGCCAAATTTTCTTTTGGACATTAGCTGAAAAAATACAATAATTCTGCGAGGCTGTGCTCTGGAACAAACTAGTTAGTATGGCAACATTTTCAGGGATTCACACGGACTCCTGCACGATGTCAAATCAGGGAGTATTTGACTTTGGACTCCCGTTAATTTCGCACCCTGTGTGCGTGTGTGCGTGTGCGCGTACATGTGTGTGATTTGTATATTTTATAGTACCATGGCATGAGATCTGTCCAGGTTTTGATGCGATTTAAGATGTGGTTAGATGCAAGTAATGCAATGTTTTTGTGTATGAACTGTTAGTGTTTGACCACGGATGTATTATGATATCAAGAGCCACTATAATATATATACATATATTATATATATATATATATATTATATATATATATATATATATATATTATATTAGTGTATCAGTCGTAAAAAATTCAGAATTCTATATTCTTTACTCCCGGATATTGCTCTTGCGTCTACGTCCATTTATTCCGCTTACGTTTTCTGATCGTTGTATGACCCGTGAACCTTCTCTCTCTTACCTGTGAGTTTAGCACTCACGTCTTTCGCATCCCATCATTTCTCCAATTTTCCGTAACTTTTCGGTGCGAATGGCCCTGTGAGAATCTGGTAGTTATATAACTCCACCTAACGCAGACGTGGACAGCACTTCTGGCACTCGACATTATCTCCAAAACAACAACTAATTAAGTTAACGATCAGCAATTAGTGAGTTGACACCAGTGTTCCATTGTTTGGTGGTGCCCCCAGTTGCTTGGTAGCCCCCAGCTAGTAGCTGCTTAGTTTGCTTGGTGTCCCCAGCACCAAGGAAAGGACTCCCGTTTGACTTCTCATTCGTGTCAGTGTTCTGTCGGTAACTGGAACACGTTTCGCACGTAACCAAGTGAAAACTAACTCTCCGTTCACGCATTGTTTACGCTTGATGACCAGCTGTGGGAACCATTTACTCGTAGTTGTGCTGGCACATGCGAGTACAAAAAAAAACATTACGTCAATAATACACCCCGTACATAAGTGGTGGTGGTGGTAGTGGTGGTGCTACACTAGTGGAGCTAGGTTCCCGCCGTGTCTTCCTGAAGCGTACGTGGTCCGCTACCAGGCGATTGATACTGTGAAACGATTAGTTAGTGTAAAGGAAGGTGCGCGGAAGCTGCTACGTGGCTCTATCATTGAAAGAATTTTATACCGGACCCAACCCTGGACCAAAAGTATGGCTTAACATTCAAGTTTCACACCTCCCTCAGCTGATACCACTAACTCCCCCTAGTAGCGCTGCAGGGGTCGTTGTCGTATCAGGTACTACAGATATGTACCCGAGGTACATTGTCATATATATGTATACACAAAGTGTACCAGACTTGTACTACAGAAGTGTATACTAACCCTAACCCTAACCCTAAACATACCTCATATAAAAATATAAACATAATACCAAACAATCTAAAACTACCTCGGGTACATATCTGTAGTACCTGATACGACAACGACCCCATCTGCCCTAGTATAGCTTCTCGGTCCTTTTCAAGTTCAGCGTCGGAAAATTATTACCGACTGCGCGTGACCATTTCACATCTATATGAACTTTGTTATCGTTCCACGCCGTTGTAAATATTGTGAAACGCGTAATTGTTATTCTACCAATACTGCTGCATGCTCATTGCTCTACTGTTCAGGAGGTGAATATCGGTCACTATACTGCTGTACGAGAGACGCGTTTCATAAACATATCACTAAATATCGACAGTACACGCGCGCACGTACACACGCGTATGTACGGGTAACGCGCACGCATGCATATACACACGCACACATGCACACACACACACACACGCACACGCACGCACGCACGCACACACACACACACACACACACGCACACACAGATGGAAAAGGAGGCGATGAAAGAGAGAAAAGAGGGAAAGGGAAGAGAAGGAGAAAAAGAAGAAGAAGAAAGAGTGAGAGAGAGAAGGGGCGAGATATATACACACTAGCTGCGGGTACCCGCTGCGCTGGGTAAAATTGTGCTACTAATTCATACTACTAATAATGGGACACAATAGGAACATTGGGTAA